TCAGGATAAAGAAGGACACTACATACAGCTCAGGGGAACCATACACCAATAAGACATAACAATTATAAATATATATGCCCCAAACAATGGAGCATCTATGTTCATCAAACAAACTCTTCTCAAGTTCAAGAGTCAAATAGACCACAACACAATAATTTTGGGTGACTTTAACACACTTCTTTCATCACTAGATAGATCTTCCAAATGAAAGCTCAACAAAGAAACTATAGAGCTTAATAATACAATCAATAACTTAGACTTAACTGACATATATAGACTATTTCATCCTTCAATGAGAGAATACACTTTCTTCTCAGCAGCACACGGATTCTTCTCTAAAATAGACCATATAATATGCCACAAAGCAACTCTAAGCAAATATAAATAAGTAGAGGTATGACCCTGCATTCTATCAGATCATAATGGAATGAAATTAAAAATCAATGATAAAATAAGAAATAAAATCCACTTCAGCACCTGGAGACTAAATAATATGCTACTGAATAAACAAAGGGTTGCAGAAAACATCAAGGAGGAGATTCAAAAATGTGAATGAGAACACAGATACAATATATCGAAATCTCTGGGACACTATGAAAGCAGTTCTAATTGGAAAGTTCATTGCATGAAGTTCACTCCTTAAAAGAAAAAAAATAAACAAATAAATGAATTATTGTTACATCTCAAAGCCCTAGAAAAAGAAGAACAAATCAACACCCAAAGCAGCAGAAGACAGGAAATAATTAAAATCAGAGCTAAAGTCAATGAAATTGAAACAAAAGAAACAACTGAAAAAATTGACAGAACAAAAAGTTGCTTCTTTGAAAAAATAAATAAAATTTACCAACCCTTAGTCATGCTAATGAAGAAAAGGAGAGAAAAAACTCAAATCACTAACATACATAATGAAAAAGGAAATATCACACAGACACTACAGAAATACAGAAGATAATTAGAAGTTATTTTGAAAACTTGTACTGCAATAAAATAAAGACTATCAAAGATATCAACAAATTTCTAGAGTCATATAATTTGCCCAAATTGAATCAGGATGGTATACACAATTTAAACAGATCAATTTTAAGTGACAAAATAGCAGATGCCTTCAAAAGTCTACCAACCAAGAAAAGCCCAGTTCTGGATGGATACATAGCTGAGTTCTACAATTTCTTCTTAAAGAAGAACTAATACCAATACTCTTCAATTTATTTCAGGAAATAGAAAAAGAGGCAGCACTTCCAAACTCATTCTCTGAGGCCAATATCACCCTGATCCCCAAACCAGGCAAAGACACATCAAAGAAAGAAAACTTTAGACCAATAACTCTAATGAACATAGATGCAAAAATTCTCAATAAAATTCTAGCAAATAGAATTCAAAATTATATAAAAAAGATTGTGCATCAAGATCAAGTGGGCTTTATCCCAGGGATGCAAGGTTGGTTCAACATACAAAAATCAATAAATGTAATTCATCACATCAATAGACTCAAAGATAAGAATCATATGATCATCTCAATAGATACAGAAAAAGCATTTGACAAAATATAGCACCCTTTTATGTTCAAAACACTAGAAAAACTAGGGATAACAGAAGTATATTTCAACATCGTAAAGTCTATCTACACTAAGCCTCAGGCCTACATCATTCTAAATGGAGAAAAAATAAAGTCATTCCCTCTAAAAACTAGAACAAGACAGGGATTCCCTCTTTCACCACTTCTATTCAACATAATTCTTGAAACACTGGCCAAAGCAATTAGACAAACAAAAGGGATACACATAAGAAAAGAAGAACTCAAATTGGCATTGTTTGTTGATGATATGATTCTATACCTAGAAGACCCTAAAAGTTCTACCAGAAAACTTCTAGAACTGATAAGTGAATTCAGCAAAGTAGCAGGATATAAAATTAACACCTATAAATCAAAGCCATTTCTGTATATCAGTGACAAATCCTCAGAAAGTGAAATGAGGAAAACTACCCCATTTATAATGGCCTCAAAAATAAAATAAAATACTTGGGAATCAACTTAACAAAAGATGTGAAAGTCCTATACAATGAAAATTACAGAATTCTAAAGAAAGAAGTCAAAGAAGACCTTAGAAGATGGAAAGATCTACCTTGCTCTTGGATAGGCAGAATTAATATTATCAAATGACCATACTACCAAAAGCACTATACACATTATATGCAATTCCAACAAAAATCCCAATCATATTCCTCATAGAAATAGAAAAAGCATAAAATTCATCTGGAAAAATGAGAGACCCAGAATAGTTAAAGCAATCCTTAGCAGGAAGAGTGAAGCAGGTAGCATCACTATACTAGACCTTAAACTATACTACAGAGCAATAATAACAAAAACAGCATGGTATTGGCACCAAAATAGACTGGTAGACCAATGGTACAGAATAGAGGACTCAGAGACTAACCCACAAAATTACAATTATCTAATATTAGACAAAGGAGCCAAAAACACACATTGGAGAAAAGATAGCCTCTTCAACAAATGATGCTAGGAAAACTGGAAATCCATATGTTACAAAATGAAATTAAACTCCTATCTCTCACTATGCACAAAACTCAACTCAAAGTGAATCAAGGACCTAGGAATTAAACCAGAGACCCTGCATCTAATAGAAGAAAAAGTAGGCCCTAATCTCTATCATGTGGGATTAGGCCCAACTTCCTAAATAAGACTCCTTTGGCTCAAGAATTAAAATCAAGAATCAAAAAATGGGATAGACTCAAACTAAAAGGTTTCTTCTCAGCAAAAGAAATAATCTGTGAGGTAAATAGAGAACCTACATCTTTGGAGCAAATCTTTACCCCTCACACATCAGATAGAGCTCCAATCTCTAGGGTATATAAAAAAGTTAAGCACCAAAAAACAAAAAACAAAAACAAAAACAAAAACAAAAAACAATAAATGGGCCAAGGACCTGAACAGACACTTCTCAAAAGATGATATACAATCAATCAACAAATATATAAAAAATGTTCAACATCTCTAGCAATTAGAGAAATGCAAACCAAACCACTCTAAGATTTCATCTCACTCCAGTTAGAATGGTAGCTATTATGAATACAAACAACAAGAAGTGTTGGTGAGGATGTGGGGAAAAAGGTACACTCATACATTGCTGGTGGGACTGCAAATTGGTGCAGCCAATATGGAAAGCAGTATGGAGATTCCTTGGAATCTGGGAATGGAACTACCATTTGATCCAGCTATCTTTTTCCTCGTTCTATACCTAAAGGACTTAAAATCAGCATACTACAGGGACACAGCCACATCAATGTTTATAGCAGCACAATTCACAATAGCTAAACTGTGAAACCAACCCAGACACTCTTCAATAGATAAATGGATTTAAAAAATGTAATACACACACACACACACACACACACACACACACACACAATGGAATATTACTCAGTAATCAAAGAGAATAAAATCATGGCATTTGCAGGTAAATGGATGGAGTTAGAGAAGATAATGCTAAGTGAAATTAGCCAATCCCCAAAAAACCAAATGCTGAATGTTTTCTTTGATATAAAGAGGCTGATTCATAGTGGGATAGGGAGAAGGAGCATGGAAAGAACAGAGTAACTCTATAGAGGGCAGAGGGGTTGGAGGGAAAGGGAGGGGGCATGGGGTTATAAATGTTGGCTTAATGTGATGATCACTATTATCCAAAGTACATGTATGAAGACACGAATTGATGTGAATCTACTTTGTATACAATCAGAGATATGAAAAATTGTTCTCTATTTGTGTAATAAGAATTGTAATAAGATTCCACTGTCATATATAAATAAAAAAGTAAAAATAAAAAATTTCTATTGTCAGAAAGACAAAAGAGGATAGTGAGGAAGTGGAGAAAAAGGAATCCTTCTATCCTACTGGAGGAGGTAGGGATATAAATTTGTACAGCCATTATGGAAAGCAGTGTGGGAGGTCATCCTCGCCTGTGTTTTGAGTTACCTCCCTGGCTGGGTGAGAGGCGTTTAGACACATCTTTGTGTCCAGAGCTTTCCCCACCCTTCTCAGGTCCGAGGGCTTGTCTGTGTGGAGGTGTGTCTGTCCATACCCTGAAGACCCAATCATCACACCTGACCTTGGGTTCTTTTTTTGTCTTTTTTGGAACTGGGGGTCGAACCCAGTGCTTTGCGAATGCAAGGCAGACACTTTGCCACTGAGCTACATCCCAGCCCCGCACTTGACCTTGGGACACTGCTCCCCTTAATCTTCACTGGATGGGATTTTCCCCAGAATTTTTTGTTCCCCAATAAAAGTCTACTCCCTGGCATGTTTCTCTCTCTCTCTCTCTCTCTCTCTCTCTCTCTCT